CTAATACTCTCCGGGCGTACAATTGGGTGGGTGGAATCATCCAATTTGCCTTTAAACGACCAATTTATTGGTTTACAACTTGCGCCGCGATTTCATTAACTCAAGTCTTCCACAAACATTTATGACAACATATAATGATCATATATGGTTCCAAACGGCATTATATGACCCCGAGATGTATCCTCTATAATCTAAAGACTTTTCGACACCGGACCCCGAAACCTCCAGAATATCTCAAAAAGCGTGGATATTAGCCTTCAATTTTAGAATTTTTTTGTTTTTTTCGCCGAGAAATAAAAATTGCCGAAATGTTTACTATGGTCCCTAATACCCTCCGCGAGTCCAATTGGGTGGGTGGAACAATCTTATTTGCCTTTAAACGGCCAATTTACCACTTTACAACTCACATCGATTTAATTAACTCAAGCCCACTACACATATTTATGACAACATATAATGATCATATATGATTCCAAACGGCATTATATGATCCCGAGATATATCCCCTAGAATTTCAAAACTTTTCGACACCAAATCCCGAAACCTCCAAAATTTCTCAAAAAGTGTGGATATTAGCCTTCAATTTTTGAATTTTTTGATTTTTTTTTGCTCGGAAATAAAAATTGCCGAATTGTTTACCATGATCCCTAATACCCTCCGTGAGTCCAATTGGATGGATTGAACCATCCAACTTTCCTTTAAACGGCCAATTACCGGTATACAACTTGCACTGACTTCATTAACTCAAGCCTACCACGAACATTTATGACAACATATAATGATTATATATGATTCCAAACGACATTATATGACCACGAGATGTCCCTTAAATTTACGAGGATTTTCGACACTAGGCCTCAAAATCTCCAAAAATTTTCAAAAACCGTGGATATTAGCCTTATTTTTTGGAATTTTTCGACATTTTTCCACCCGGAAATAAAAATTGCTGAAATGTTTACCATGGTCACTAATACTCTCCGGGAGTCCAATTGGGTGGGTGGAACCATCCAATTTGCCTTTAAATGGCCAATTTACAGATTTACAACTTGCACCGATTTCATTAACTCAAGCCTACCACGAACATTTATGACAACATATAATGATCATATATGGTTCCAAACGGCATTATATGACCCCGAGATGTATCCTCTATAATCTAAAGACTTTTCGACACCGGACCCCGAAACCTCCAGAATATCTCAAAAAGCGTGGATATTAGCCTTCAATTTTAGAATTTTTTTGCTTTTTTCGCCGAGAAATAAAAATTGGCGAAATGTTTACCATAGTCTCTAATACTCTCCAGGCGTCCAATTGGGTGGGTGGAACCATCCATTTTGCCTTTAAACGACCAATTTATCGGTTTACAACTTGCGCCACGATTTCATTAACTCAAGTCTACCACAAACTATGTTACTTGGATTCGAATGAAGTGTCAAATTAGACACGGGTGTCCAAGCATCGGACTCGACCATTTTCTTGAAAAAAGTTGTGTTTTTAGTTAAAAATGAAGTGTCCAAGTGTCGGTGTCGGTGTCCGACACGAGTCGTGTCGACACGGACACGTGAGGTAAATGAAAGAGTCCGAGTAACATAGACCACAAACATTTATGACAACATATAATGATCATATATGGTTCCAAACGGCATTATATGACTCCGAAATGTATCCCCTGAAATCTCAATGCTTTTTGACACCAGGATCCGAAACATTCAAAATTTCTCAAAAAGCGTGGATATTAGCCTTCAATTTTGGGATTTTATTTTACTATTTTTCGCCAAGATATAAAAATAGCCAAAATGATTACCATGATCCCTAGTATCCTCCGAGAATTAAATTGGGTGGGTGGAACTATCCAATTTGACTTTAAACGACCAATTAAGTGGTTTACAACTTGCATCGATTTCATTAACTCAAGCCTACCACGAACATTTATGACAATATATAATGATCATATATGGTTCCAAATGTCATTATATGACCCCGAGATGTATTCCCTAAAATCTCAAGGTCATTCAACACTGTGACCCGAAACCTCCAAATTTTTTTCAAAAAGTGTGGATATAAGCCTTCAATTATGAATTTTTTGACTTTTTTCCGCCCGGAAAGAAAAATTGGCGAAATATTTACCATACTGTAATATACTCCGGGCGTCCAATTGGGTGGGTGAAACCATCCAATTTGCCTTTAAATGGCCAATTTATCGGTTTACAACTTGCGCCGCGATTTTATTAACTCAAGTCTACCACAAACATTCATGACAACATATAATGATCATATATGGTTCCAAACGACATTATATGACCCCGAGATGTATTCTCTATAATTTAAAGGCTTTTCGACACTGGACCCCGAAACCTCCAAATTATCTCAAAAAGCGTCGATATTAGCCTTCAATTTTAGAATTTTTTACATTTTTTCGCCCGCAAATAAAAATTGCCGAAATGTTTACCATGGTCCGTAATACCTTCCGCGAGTCCAATTGGGTGGGTGGAACCATGTTATTTGCCTTTAAACGGCCAGTTTACCACTTTACAACTCACATCGATTTAATTTACTCAAGTCCACTACGCATATTTATGACAACATATAATGATCATATATGATTCCAAACGGCATTATATGACCCCGAGATATATATCCCCTAGAATTTCAAAACTTTTCGGCACCGAATCTCGAAACCTCCAAAATTTCTCAAAAAGTGTGGATATTAGCTTTTATATATGGTTTTTGACTTTTTTTTCTCGGAAATAAAAATTGTCAAATTGTTTATCATGATCCCTAATACCCCCCGTGAGTACAATTGGATGGATTGAACCATCTAATTTGTCTTTAAACGGCCAATTACCGGTATACAACTTGCACCGATTTTATTAACTCAAGCCTACCACGCACATATATGACAACATATAATGATTATATATGATTCCAAACGGCATTGTTACAAACACGACCCGAAATCAACCCGACTTGTTATTGACTTGACCCAAATTCAACCCGACTTGTTATTGATCCGACCTAAATTTTACCAGACCTATTACTTATCCGATCTAAATATTCAATCCGATCTGTTATTAACCCGACTCGAAATTAACACGACTTGTTATTGACCCGACTAAATTTAACCCAAATTGTTCCTGACCCGATTTCAAATCACTTTAAATGCAATTTAAACCATTTTATTATTGTTGATCATAGCATTTTGTCTAGGAAGACCAAGTCGGTCCAGGCAGCAAAAGAAAAAAGCATCATCCTCAAATTTAAGAGTTAAATATAGTATATATTTGTTGTACGGTCAAAGGAGATAATTATCTTCCTAAATTATAGACTATAGTTTCCTAGTATATTGTCATATATATTATAGTCAAAGGAAATAATTAGCTTGATAAAAATGATAATTATCTATTTATAGTTAGTTGAGCCTGAATATGACCTGATTTGGAAATAACCCGACCTTATTGTAACCTGCAAATTATTGACTTGAACATAACCCGACTTGAATCCGAGAATGACCCAACTTGGAAATAACCAAACCTAATTATAACCCGCAAATTATTGACTTGAACCGAACCCGACTTGAACCCGAGAATGACCTGACTTGAAAATGACCCGACCTGATTATAATCTGCAAATTATTGACTTGAACTTAACCCGACTCAAACCCGAGAATGACCTGACCTGATTCTAACCGGAAAATTATTGACTTGAACTGCACCTGACTCGAACCCGAGAATTACCCTAACCTATTTTAACCCGTGAAAACTCGAATTAAACCCAACCTATTGTTTCTCCGACCCGAATGTAATCCGATCTGTTATTAACCCGACCAAAACCCGACCCAAACCCGATAAGAAGTATGACCCGACGTGACCCGACTCAAGCATGACCCAACCCAAACCTGACCCGCATAGATTGTGGAATTAATCGTTGACCCGACCCGAGTTGAGCTGACCCACTCTTACCCTACCCAAACCTGACCCATTTACCAATTGACAACTCTAAGCATACCATTAGTAAAGGCAAAGTTTAATGTCAGAATTTTACAGAAACAATGCAAGATAGGTAATGCAGACATGCAGTTGCTAGTGTGCAACCATATTACAGCTGATGTTAATGGACTCAACTGCAAGTATCTGATACATTTACTAATAAAGTTCCAGGCTCGGAATTTCCCCAAGTTTTGACCAATGTTATAGGCCTATAACATACGAGTATTGAGTAATTTTATTCCTGCACTTCTATGCAAGTAGTCTAAAACTCTTGTGCTCTAATGTGAAAGAAGAAACTATATATCAGATGGATCACAGGTCCTTAAGGAATGACTTGTATTCAAGAACCTTCATTTCTGTTTTCTATTAAAGTACTAGTTATTGACAAATGAATTTAAGAAGCAATTTGGCAAGGAGTATTCCATATTATTCTCCAATCATCAAAGACTCACACACTCACCTTTAAAGTTTGGTGATGGAAATGCCTTACTTTGGACATTCAATTAGACGTGTTAGGGCATTCCATGACCATCATCATTTTCCCCAATGATTCAACACATTACATCAAGTGATCCTAGTGAGGTGACAATGTGCATTACAGCATTAGTGCAATGCTTATCGCTTCAACCATCTTTCAGCTACCACATGCAAGATTGAGCATCTAGTCTTAATATCAATAACTATGGAGAGCCCTAAGAGTAGAGCCAATGTTGACCACAACAAATCAACCATGTTATTGCTCCTACCGAATTAAAATGAGTTTTGTGTTGCCACATATCTTCTATCCCTAATTTTTTTTCAATTCAATTTTACAAGTTTCTCTGTTCATGCCATGCTCAATTGCTCATGCCCCAATCACCAGGAATTTGGTTCTTCTTTTAAACAATTCATTAGAAATATCTAGCTCAAAACAAGAAAAACCCCAAATTTCTAGCTCAAAACAAGAAAAATCCCAAATTTCCAGCAAACAATTCATCAAACAAAAAAACAGAAGTAAAAAAATGTAAATCTCACCGGAAAAGAAACCCCAATTTCATCACTGATTAGTGATCCTGTCTTCTCACAAAATCTGCCCATATATTAAAAACAAAAAAAAAATCAAATACTTCATAAATTATTTACGGAATCAATTTAATTTGTTTAAATAGCAACTCAAATCTGAAAAATTAAAGAGAGAAAATGAATACCTTAAGGGTTGTTTGGTTAAAGGGCAAACCAGAATTTCAGACAGAGTTTTACTGATTCCTTCTCCCACATTTTTCATCACAAATTTGCTCACTTTTACCATTTTTATTCCTGGTTTTCTCTCTCCTCTGTTTTATTTTTTCATAGTGCTTATATTTTGTCCTTTTATTTTTTAATTTTTTTTCCCAAGTAAAACCCTTTTGCTGATGAAACGACGCCGTTTCAAAGCCAACAAATGGGTAAATTCCTGCGCCTCCAATTTCCCACGGTTTTAGAGAGAGAAACAATCTAGGAGAGAGAAAGCTATTATGAACGTCAATGACGGAACCCAACTTGATTTCGAAATCCCATCAAAACCCAGTTGCAGATGAATGGCAAGAGCTTTAATTCGAGACATTTCTTGTCTCTTTCTTCCTGCATTTCGATGTAATTACTCATCTTCTACTAATAATCTCCCTCTTTCTCATCAAATTTTGACCTGCATCAATTCTCAATGGTTGAAGAAGAACAAAATCAAAGAACTTTATGCAGTTTTGATAACTTCTGATCGCGTGAAAATCCCTTTTTTTGGATGTAAGTTGCTCAAATTTTCATCCCAATTTGGTGATTTGCGTGATGCTTTGTGGGTTTTTCACAGCATTGATTTTCCAAATATAGTTTGTGTTAACAATGTGATCAAAGCTTATGCTGGTAGTATTTTCCCATTGGAAGGTGTAAGGTTTTATTTTGAGACACTGAAATCTGGGATTTTTCCTAATTCTTATACTTTTCCGCCATTATTGAATTGTTGTGCTAAAGAGGGTAGTTCTAGGATAGGTGAAATGTGTCATGGTCAAGTTATTAAGAATGGGTTTGATGGTGTGGTGCAGATACAGAGCTCATTGATTCATATGTATGATTGTTGTGGGATTAATGAGGTTGCCTTGAAGGTGTTTGATGTAATGCCTGAGAGAGATTTAGTGTCCTGCAGTGATGGGTTTGTGAATGATGGTGATTTTTCAAATATAGTTTATTTTAACAATGCGATTAAAGCTTATTCAGGTAGTATTTTGCCATTGAAAGGTGTAAGGATTTATTTTGAGATGCTGAAATCTGGGGTTTTTCCTAATTCTTATACTTTTCCGCCATTGTTGAATTGTTGTGCTAAAGAGGGTAGTTCTAGAATAGGTGAAATGTGTCATGGTCAAGTTATAAAGAATGGGTTTGATGGTGTGATGCATATACAGAGTTCATTGATCAATATGTATGCTTGTTGTGGGGTTATTGATGTTGCCTTGAAAGTGTTTGATTTAATGCTTGAGAGAGATGTGGTGTCCTGGAACTCTATCTGTGACGGGTTTGTGAAAGTTGGTAATTTGAGAAATGCACACAACTTGTTCGATTCAATGCCTGAGAGAAATGTAGTGTCTTGGAACATTATGATGACAGGTTACTTAGAAAGGCTCAATCCTGGGTATGTGTTAATACTTTGTAGGCAGATGATAGAAAGCGGAATATTGGGGAATGATACGACTATGGTTAATGTGCTTGCAGCTTGTGGGAGATCTGCTAGGTGGAAAGAGGGAGCATCAATACATGGTTTCCTTGTGCGAAGGCTATGGAATTTAAGCTTGATAATGAACACCGCTCTCATTGATATGTATAGTAAATGCAAAAAGGTCGAGGTGGCTCGTAGTATATTTGATGGCCTACTCCAGAGGAATTTGGTGTGTTGGAATTCAATGATATTAGGGCATTGTCTTAACGGAAATCCTAATGATGGACTTCATTTATTTGAAGATATGATGTATAAGATGAAACTAGATAGTGAAGCTGAAGGTCAGAGGTATGTGCATGTAGGCGGAAGACATCAAGTGCTTCCTGATGAAATCACTTACGTCGGTGTTATATGCGCATGTACACGAGCAGGGCTATTGGAAGAAGGAAGATTTTATTTTGATCAGATGGAGAATTTGTTCGGCATAAAGCCCAATTTTGCGCATTATTGGTGCATGGCAAATCTACTGGCAAGTAAGGGGCTGGTGCAAGAAGCACTAGCCACTGTAAAGAAAGTAAATGAGTTTGTTGTTGATGTGTCGTCAGAGTCATTGTTGTGGGCTAGTTTATTTGGTTCATGCCGATTCCAAGGTGATTCATCTATTGCAGAACAAGTTGCAAAAACATTGATTGAACTAGAGCCACAAAATACAATGTGCTATGCACTACTCTTGAATATTTACGCTGCTGCCGGTAGGTGGGAGGATGCTGATGAGGTGAAGGAACTGATGTATAAAAGAGAGGCTGGCAAAGTGTACGGTGGTAGTCTTGTAGACTTGATAGAAATTGTTCACAATTTTAGATTAGGAGATGGGAAAGAGTATGCAGTGGAGATAGCCAAACTGGTTATTGGTGGAGAAGCTGTTGACGTCCAAGAGAGCAAGACTGAAAGTCAAACTTAGTATCAGGCTCATGTTATATCACTCATGTGGGATGTCTTAACTGATGTAAATCAATGCAAGTTGCCAAATACGGTAAATGGTGTTGTTGATGGTATGTGGTTCAAACTTAAAACACCATTTGGTAAAGAATTGTTGAGTATATGGGATTTATTGCCCAGGAGTTCGGCTGATCATTGGCTTTATGTAAGCAGGAAGATGATGGAATAACTCAGGAGGCGAATGGGGAGAGCCTTCTTGAGGTCAGAAAACTCCCTTACACACATTGACATCTCAAGTTTTACTGTATTATTTTAGTAACAACTTGAGTGAAATATTCCCCTTTTTGTCACCAAATAACAAATTGTGATGTTCATTTTTAAAATGAGTACTTACATAGTTTTATATCTACCCGGAGCCTTGTAATTTGCATACTCTTTTGATGCTACACTGGCTCTTTGTTCGCATGAACGTTTTGCTTATGGTTGCACCTCTGATTTAAATCAAATCTAAGGTCAGTGAAACTTCATATGTAAAGCAGTAAAGTAAGATCCCCTGGAATTAGTATAGTTTTGAGCATTTCCTGAGCAAACTAGGATATACGACATTACATGTCAACCTTTTGCATCTAACCAAGCAGCCACTGAAATAATGCAACTACATCATTTTTAGCAATGACAAATTATAGGGATTCATTTGGCGGTATAGGCAACATCTAGTCACTTCAATCTTCATAGTTTATACTAACAAATTTAACAACACCAAACTCATTGAAACAGAAACAATTTTAAGTTGCAGCTTGTTCACACTCTTCAGAATTTCTGAAAGCAATATGGTAGTTGAATTTGAAACAATTCGAAAAACTAATACTACCTTATGCTTACATATGCTCATATGAGTTCATCGAAATACATACATGCAAACATCTAGAGTGTAGGCTGTTAAAATGTTCAGCAAAAACGAGGCTCAAACACAACAATTCATCTCTTTCACTTTCCTAACTATTGGCTTTGAAAATCTCCAAAATTTTCTGTAAATTAGCCTCAGAAATGACGATTTTCTCGGTTCTTGGGAAGATAATGACGAATTTGAATGCCTTGATGATGCTGGGAGACAAACCGCAAGTTAATATTATTCGTATTGCAGTACTTTCTCCTTATGTCTGATTCCATACCTTTATCCCCAGTAGAACTAAACAAGTTCTCAGCCTAAAGGCAAAACTCAAAATGCAGCAAGAACACCAACACATAGTAGCTAAATCTCAAAGAAATCAGAAACATAAAATTTAAGTTATGAATGCAAAGTACCCCACAATTCACATACATGATTAAAAGATGGAAGGTGTGACTGTCTGAAGATGGGGCTACCATCAGTAGCAGTCACCCACAAGCAGCAACCCTCCATAAGACTACTATTATTTACAATCCATCTTTGTCTCACCACTGAAGAGTACATTCTAAGACAGAAGAATAAAGATGAGACCAAGTCAGGAATCTCAATTTCTACTACAAGAGGCATAAATTCATTGGTATATTCATTCATAGAATAGCCAAACACATCCTTCCCACGGGCTTCATTGTATTCCCCAATGCCACAGCATCATTCAAAGGCCCACTGATTCTCCCTGCGAACCTCTTCCTCTTCCTCCGGAGTAAAGTCATTCTTGATGTTGAATGTCTTCCTGATCTCTTCTGGTGTCTTTCCCTTGATCATGTCAGCAACGGTTTGACAAGTCAAGTCCAGCAAGCTCTTGATATTCAGGTAGTTGGCAGCCTGAAATTACGAGCAAATCAACCAATTTTTATACATTTTCTAAAAAAAAGTATGCTTATTACTTTATGAAAAATAAATCAAGAATCTTTAAAGACATCTCACAATATTATCTGAGAAGATAAAAAGACTGTCAAACACAGTTTGGCTTTTCTATCCACATTTATATATAAGCAAAAAATAAAAATTGCACAAGAAAGGGTATAACATTATCCAAGAAATTAATCAGATTCAAAGAGAACATACAGTAACTGTAGCTATGAACTTATGAAACTAACCACATAAACCAGAATACAACCCAATCAGGTAGTACTCTAGGCAGCAAAATGTAAAACAAATAGATAATTCAAACTTTGTAAGACTAATGCAGATGTTAGTTATCGACTTATCCCATCCAGAAGTAATTAGTCATATACACTTCTAGTAAGCAATGGATAAAGGAGCCCAAGAGTGCATTGAACTACTCCAAAATACCAAAAGTTAAACAGTTTCAGCACACAAAAAACACAGACATATCCCCTTCTGAAAACAGAAAATAGACAGTCACAACATGATCCTGTACACCACTCCAGAATCAAAGTAAATTTAAGAATGAATGGTCAAGCAATATAGAAAAAGCACAAATAGGGAATAAGTGATGATTAGATGATATGATACTGAGTCTCCAAAGAGATTTTCAAAGCTTCCCAGCACTTTAGAAAACAATTACTTCCCTATAGGTTCTTGACCAAGATTAAAAGACAAACCATTCTTTAATTCATCCGTGTGATGTTTACATAAGGATGCATCGGAAGGATGCATCGGACTCGATGATTCAACCTTATAACTTTGTTTGGATTGCAAGGTAGAAGAGGATTGCAAGGGAGAAGAGGGAAGATTCTCTCCATCCTAATCAAACAAAAAAAAACTTGTTCCTTCCGCTCTTTTTCCCTTATCCAAACAAAGTGCTAAAATTTGGACACACCTTTACCCCAACACCAACACCCCTAAGGAATCAAACAAAACAATAACAGATGCACAATTACCACAACCTTAAACAATCCGATTCCAACAGAGCACACAAATTTTTAATCCGCATCCAATTATAGCGCAACAGAGTCGAAAAATAAACAATCAGGTAATCATCCGAGCGAAAATCCTATCAAGAGGAATCATATAAAACATCCAGGAGACTAGCAGTATACGAAGAAAATTCCAATCAATTAAGAAACATAGTCCTAATTTCTTCTCTCCAATAAGGCAATATCTATACCTACAGAAGCTGTCAATCTGTTGTATACTACTTTCAAAATTCAATATCCAAAAAATATACAACACTTAATTATTCTGCAATACATCAAACCCAAGCAAATTTCAGTTCAAACCCCCGAAAAATGATTACTCCCAGACTTCCCAAATATAATACATCACAGTCAAAATTCAATATCAAAATCAGAAATTGTCCACAAAACAACACTTTCAAGTCTTACAAAACATCAACCCCAAGCAAAATTCAAGTTCAAACCCCCAAATAAACAACTATTTCATCCAATCAATAGAGAAAAATAAAAACCCAGAAAATTCAACAATTGAAGAATGAAATAGAGAGAGGAGAGAGAAAGAGGGATACAAGGATGAGATCGAAGAGGGTAGCCTGGTCAACTTTGACAAAATCAGCATCCCAAGTCTTAAGTTCATCATCAACCTGACGATCGGCAGCAGCAGCGGCGTTATCAGACGATGATTTAGGAGAATCGACATGCTTCTTACAGTACTCAATCACCTTAGCAAGGATCTTGCTCGTAACATTCGGCAAAGGGATAACATTATCAGCGCAATCATCTTCAACCATATGCTTAATCGTCTGAGATTCCAAAGCAACCGTTTCTTCTACCTCGAATGTCTCACCATCTGAGCTTTTCAGTGTAATCTTCCTGGTTGACGCCATTGATTTTTCTGGATTGAGAAGCTTAACCCTAGGAGAGAGAAAATGGTAATAGCAGGAAGAAGATGAGAATGAAAGAACGAACAAGTTTGGGGATTTTTAATTTCTAATTTGTTGTTTTTTTATTTTATAGACAATCATGAATAAATGATGAATTAAAGTACGCGTGGAAATTTGGATTTTGGAATGGTCTAGAGAAACCAACCCATGGGTTTATGGGTCCGATTTGGTTTATTGGGTTTTGGGCCTTTTTGGCTTCTCGATTTTGTTTGAGCATGCATGAACAATCATGAGTCCATAACCATTCCCCTATGAGAGTCAAGTATTTAGAGTTTCCCTCCCGATTTTAGAAGGTTTTTAGGATCGATTCTCACCCCCGTTCATGTGGCTCTTTAAACACCAAAAAAAAAAAAAAAAATCCGCTCTTGCTATTCATTTTTCACTCATCCACATTATCTATACCATCCATGAATCTTTTGCATCGAGTTTCAACTGATTCAAATAGGCGTTACATTATGAGATAGGGTCCATACAAAAAGTACTTTAAATAAGTTTGGAGTTAATGACAAATTAAAAACAAGCATCAATCATGTAATTAAATGTTAATTTTCTGTAATTTTCTTCTTTTAACTTCTTATACACAACCCTTTACTCAAAAAATTATATTAATTGTTACATAGTTTTAAATAAACTAATTTTCCTCAAAAAAAAAAAAAAAAAAAACTAATTGACTTTATAGTAAAATTTTAATAAGAGTAAAGATGTACTCGTATAATCTTAGAATGTCTTTGCACTCCATAACATTAATGAAATGGAGAGAGTTTATAATGGGGGGTGTTAAATACCGCCAACAATTTTTGTCAAAATCGCCAACAACCAAACCACCATCAACCTCAAATTGAGGTTGTACATCAGAGGTGAAGAGAAGTGGTGGCCGGACGTGGAAGGACAACAACGGTGAGGATTGGAGGTGATGAACCGGCATCACGGTGGTCAAAATTGAAAAACCAGTTCGTCACTTTGCTTAGTTCTTGTTTTTAATAATCTCCGGCGCTCACCATGGTCAATCGGCGTGCAAAATCGGTCACCCGAGACGGTAACTGGTTTTAGATGTCGGTCTACCGTGGTCAATCGGCACCCAAAACCGGTCACCCGGGACGGTAACCGGTTTCCAGCGTCGGTTACCATGGTCAACCGACGCTGGAAACCGATTACCGTTCTGGGTGACCGGTTTTGGGCGTCGGTTGTGCTGGTCGCCAGATTTAAAAGAAAATCACCACCCTCCCGCCGACGTGGGATGGTGGTGGGTTGTTTATCCGATGGCTGATGATTGTTGTTGGTCCGATGGTTGATGATTGTTGTTGGTTCTTTCGGGATTTCGGCCTCAAAAACAATTTGGTGCCTTGGTGCAGTGGTTGTAGTGGTATGGGCGGTGGTTGTAGTGGTATGGGCGGTGGTCGTGGTGGCGTGAGTGGTGGGTGGCAATGGTGGTTGCTTTTGTGGTGGTTGAGTTTGAGTTTGAGGCTTGATTGATGCCTTAGGAGAGAGAAAGCAAAGTGAGGATGAGTAAGGGTAATTTTGTCCATTCTTCACTTTTGTTGGCGGTTTGATAAAAAAAGCTGGCGGTATTTAGCAATCCACTTTATAATCTAATTGGCTTTCTAAAAGTCCAAGAATCAAATTAAACTACTATAATACTAAAAATCTAAAATTAAATATGGGTAATATGGGTCTAAGCAGCTTTATACAGTAATAATTTAACAACAATTATATGGTACGTAAGGGTAGAGTTAGTAACATAATTTACCACACGAGGTTTAAAAACTAACCAAGAACTAAAAACAGAACAAACAGAGGTATCCAACAGAATTAACAGAATCGTTGGTAGTTAACTAACTTTATCCTCATAATAAATTAATAGTCATTAATTATAATTATAAACCCAAGATGTGGGCTCTAAAATGTGCCTATATATACACTAGATAAACAGAAAATTGAGTGAAAATCCAGAAGTAAAAGAAATCATTACCAGAAAAACCCAGTAAACAAAATTGATCTTAAAAACTCACGAGCTCTCTTTAATAATGGTGGAATTAATTACAATTGACAACAATGGTATAATTCCTTTCTTCACTTGTTCTTTCTCCTTTTGCTATTTCATTTCTTCAATTATTCATTTTCTTTTTGACATTCATCATTTTCTTGGAGAAGCAGGAAAGCCACACCCACTGCAGCTAGACTATGTTCGAGGACCAAAAGGAGCGTACGAGTTGAAGAAGACCAAAAAAGGCATTTACGTTCGAGTAGACATGCCGGGAGCAGAAGAGGTTCGATTCAGTCTGGTGGATGAACTCAAGGCGATTCATTTTATCGGTTTCGCTGATAAATTTGACGATGAAGAATGGCTCCATGTTAAATCAAAAAGGTTTTATGATGGTTATATTAAACTTGATTGTCAGGAATTTAATCAAGTAAAATACCACGCTGAATTCAGCAGAGGATCCTCCAGATTTTTAATTACTGGTGCTCATAATGCCTACCTCGCCTATAATGCTCCTCAGAAAAAGGATTCTGGTCTGTCTTTTTATTTTTATCCTCATTTTTTTTGTTGAAATTTTCATCAAATATACGTTGTGATTTTGTTTTATTTTATCAAGAATCTGAAACTGCTGCGAATGAAGAACAACCGCATCATAATCCCAATAATTTTCGACTTGGTAAGAGTTAGTTTCATGTACATACCTTACTGAAATTTATTTATTACTACTGTAGTTGTTATTTTGTATGATACATTAGTACTTATTAGCATATGTTCAATGTTCCTTAAACTACGAATGCATATTACGCAGAGGGAATCTTTTTCGAGAGTAGGCACAACGATAATTGTAGATACTGCAACGGCAATAAGACTCATTTTGTTACGACCGGTAAAAATAATATTTTCATGTTTTTTCTAATTAATCGATGTCATATTTCTCTTAGGTTTATACCAAGTACTAATTATTAGAATCGATCATGTTTTTTTTTTATGAAACGGAGAGAGTAATAAAGTACGTGTATATGTATGGGGTGCAGGGCAATGTACAGAGGAGGATTGTGATGTTAACCCATTTGTTCGTGCGTATGAGAAGGCCGGGAAGGGCATATTTGAAACCAATTTCAAGAAAGAGGACGACGTGACCGAAAACTATTTCTTGTACATCCGTATGGATATGCCGGGCTGCACCGATTACAAGGTGTGGGTATGGAAATACTGTGTCTTTGTTCACGGGATTACCGACTTAAATACAGGAGATTCGTTTCAGTTGGAGGAGAACAATGGACGTCGTAAATACAAGTGTCAGATCACTTTGAACTGCAGCAACTACAACGGGGTCTATAGCAAAGACACTGACTGCCCGCTCGGCTGTTCGTTTCTGGAAAATTGGTACGTGTGTAAACTTCAATACGGGGTTTTAAGGATACAAGTCAAGATTTTAGGGAACAAGGGTTCAATAACAATTCACACAAATGGTAAAATTCATTTCTTCATTTTCTTTTTCATATTAGTCGTTTTCTTGTATGTTAAATTCTTACAATAATGTGTGATACCACCAGCAAAGCGACACCCACTGCAGCTAGACCATGTTCGAGGACCAAAAGGTGCGTACGAGTTGAGGAAGACCGAAAACGGCGTTTACATTCGTGTAGACATGCCGGGAGTAAGAGACGTTGCTTTGAGAGCGGTGGAAGAACTCAAGGAGATTCGTTTTACAGGTTTCGCCCATAAATTTGACGACGAAGGATGGCTCATCGTTGAATCAAAGAGGTTTTATGATGGTACCATAAAACTTGATTGTCAGGAATTTAATCAAGTAAACTATGAGTTTGAACACATCAATGGAACCTGCAGATTTTTAATTACTGGTGTTCATAATGCCTACCTCACTTATCTTACTAAACACAAGTATTCTGGTTTGTTTTTTAATTTATCCTTTTTTTTTTTTCTTAAATTTTATTTTGTTGAAATATGCGTTGTAACTTTGTTTAATTCCATGAAGAATCTGAAACTGCTGCGAATAAAAAACAACCTTTGGCCTCGACCTCGCATCAACCGCATCATAATCCGAATAATTTTAAACTTGGTAATGAATTAGTTTCATGTACCTTATTGAAATTTATGTATTCCTACTGTAATTGTTAATTTTGTATGATATAATGTAGTACTAATTTAATGTTCCTTAAACTACGAATGCATGTTATGTAGAGGGAGTCGTTTCCGAGGAATGGCACAACGCTGATTGTAAATGCTGCAACGGCAATACAAGAGTTGTTCTCTTCAACGGTAATAACAGTATCTTTCATGATTTTTTCTAATCGATTTCATATTCCTCTTATACTAATTAGAATCGATTTGTTTTTATAATGAAACGGAGAGAGTAGCAAATAAAATACGTGTATGTAATGGGGTACCGTGCAGGGCCTTGGACAGGAGAGGATTGTGATATAAACCCATTTGTTCGTGCGTATGAGAAGGCCGGGAAGAGCATATTTGAAACCAAATTCAAGGCAGAGGGCGACGCTACCGGTAACTATTTCCTGTACATCCGTATGGATATGCCGGGCTGCACCGATTACAAGGTGTGGGTAAAAAAATACAGCGTCTTTGTTGACAGTGATACCGGCTTATCTACAGATAAGTTTCAGTTGGATGAGAATAATGGACAACGGAAATACATGTGTATGATCACTTTGAACTGCAGCAACTACTACGACGACAACAGCAGCAGCAGCAGCTGCGTGCACGGCTGTTCATTTCTGGAAAATTTGTCTGTGTGTAACCTTAAAGACGGGGTTTTAAGGATACTAGTCATGATTTTAGTTGGCGAGAGGTTTCTGGCTTATTCTGATCCCCCTCACGACTACTCCGCACAGTGTTCCACGACTTCGTTTACACCAGAATGTTCGAACAAGTGACCGTCATCTGATCTGACATTCATGTACATATGTTATGTTAATTGCAAGGCCTGAAACCAGCTGATCAAATAGTCAATTCTGTTAAGCTAGTGTTTTTTTTAGATCATCTACTTTAGGAAGGGACGAAGCTCTAATCTTTTACTATGCTACAAACAACAACACTGT